GAGGAGGAGGAGGAGGAGGAGGAGGAGGAGGAGGAGGACCGCTGCCGCGCTGGAGGGCGGGACCGCTGCCGCGCTGGCCGCGCTGGCCGCAGAGGCCGCCGCGGCGGTGCGGGCTGGCGGCTCGGTGCTGGTGCCGCTCGGGGGCGGCGGCGCCCTTGCGCCCGAGCTGGCGGAGGCGCTCGGACAGGCGCTGGCGGCGCTGCCAGCGGAGCTCACAAGAGGAAAAGGGGCTTTGCTGTGTTCTTGCTCGTCAACAGCCACGTGTGCGGAGCCACGCTGTCAATGCGCGCTTTCCTGTGGCTTTGCTTCGTTCCTGCTCGCAACGCACTCCGCCAGATGCGGCGGAGAGCGTGAGAGATCCTTCCACAAAAATGCAAATTAGGAAAAGGTACCCACACCTCTATCCTTTCCTCATTTTGCCCTTTTGGGGGCCTCCTGGGAGGCCCTCGTCGCCACCGTTGGATTCGCCTCGAGATCCTGATCAAAACGCACCCCCGGAGAGGTCCGGGGAGAAGCGGTATCGGTACCTTTTTGGTTTCCCCAGGAGCTGCAGGCGCCCGTGCTCGCGGTGGGCGGGCCAGCGCGGCTGCTGCGGCGGTGGCCGCAGCTGGGGAGGAGGAGGAGGAGGAGGAGGAGGAGGAGGCATGAGGAAGAGGAGGAGGCATGAGGAGGAGGAGGAGGAGGAGGAGGAGGAGGAGGAGGAGGAGGAGGAGGAGGAGGAGGAGGAGGAGGAGGAGGAGGAGGAGGAGGAGGACACGATGGGAGGTTCTTGGTGGAGGGTTCTTGGCCGTTTTCGGCTTCCAGGGGCCCACGCCGGGCCAGGGCCGTCGAAGAGAGACTCGGGAGGAGCAACGGGGCGCCCCAGAGGGAAGGCGCCGGGATCTCCGGGGGCCCCGTGGGGGAGCACAAGGCCCCGCATGTTAGGGACAGGTGCCGATACCACTGCCCTTCCTTCTCTTTCGCTGCTTTTCCCGGAAACCCAGACCCCCTCGAGTAGTGAAAAAATCACGACTGGAGGTTTTTCCTAATTTTCGGCCTCCGGGGGCCCTCACCGGGCCTCGGGAGCGTCAACAAAACGACTCAGGATGCAAAGCCGGTCATAGGGAAAGGGTCGGGACCTCTGGGGGTCGACGTAATGACAAAATCATTACGTCGGGGCTTTGGGAAGGGCGCCAGCCCAGGGTTCTCAGTTAGAGGTTCCACCCCCAGGGACGGCTTGAGACGGGCCGGCGAGATGATTCTGCGAATGCATCAAGATCGATACACTCAGCATTGCAATTGCCCATCGCCCAACGAGGTGTCCTGAAATTGTTGCCATGTCTTACGTTTCTAGATTCCTTTCCGGGTTCGTGGGTCGATCATGTTTTGGCCTCCTGGGAGGCCCTCATCGACACGGTTGCATTCGCCTTGAAATTCTAGAGGATGAATGGGATGAGGATGAGGAGGGGGATGCTGATGATGAGGAGGAGGAGGAGGAGGAGGAAGAGAAGGAGTAGGAGGAGGAAGGAGGAGCAGGGGGGCAAGCACACGGGCCAGAGGTCTCTTGGATGCCTCTCAGAGCCTCTTGGGATATCTCTTGGGCGTTTCTTGGAGGCCTCTTGGGACGTCTTGGGGGGTGTCTTGGCGGTCCTGGGGGGCTCTTGGGCGTCTTCTGGGTGCCTTGGGGGGGCCTCTTGGGAGCCTGTTGGAGGCCTCTTGTGCGCCTCTTGGGGCCGTCTGGGCGCCTCTTGGGTCCCTCTTGGGGCGCTCTTGGGATCCTCGGACACGCTCTTGGGGCCGTTTTGGAGGACATAGATCAAATAAGGGGTGCCCCTAATTGGCGTTGCCCCTCGGGAGCCTCAAAAGTCGCCTCTTGGGGCGCTCTTGGAGCGCTCTTGGGCGCTCTTGGGCCCGTCTTGAGGCTCTCTTGGGCCCCGTCTTGGAGTCATCTTGAGACCTTGGATGGCCATTGGAAGCGAAAAGGCGAGAAGGCACACATGATTGGTTGACCTTAGGTTTTGGAAGGAGTTTGGCCCTTGGAGGCCTCCTTGGATGTCTCGGATGCCTCTTCGAGCCGTCTTGGAACCTTCTTGGATCCTCATGGAGCATCTTGGAAGCCATCTTGAGGCATCTCGGGCTATCTTGAGCCATCTTGGAGGTCATCTTGGGCTCTCAGAGGCCCTGTTGGAGCCGTCTTGGGCCATCTTGGACGCTCTGACCGCTCGCGACCGCCCCCGTCCAGGTCCAGGGGAGGGGGTGGTGGACCACCTCCCCGAAGGGAAAGAAGGAGGTTGGAGGAGGAAACTCTCTAAACCACCTACGCCCTAAAGGGCTGGTGGGATTCTTGTCAGAACGCACTCTAGGAGAGGAGCCAGCAGTATCGGTCCCCTGCCCCCCCACCCCCCAGATGCGGGACTTTTGCGGAGTGGGCGCATCCGCGGCGCCTGGCTTACGCGTACTCTGGCAAGTCGCCCTTCTCCCTGGAGGCGATGGAGCAGGCCGGGCGCCTCGCGCTGGCGGACGCGGCGCCGGAGTTGGGCGACGCGTACCGCGAGCCTTGCGTCGTGATGGCCCCCCTGGTCCGCGGCGCGCGCGCGGGCCCGGCGGCGCACTTCGCGGGCCTGTGGGCGGGCTGCGCGGCGGCGAGGGTGCTCTGCGCGGACCCCGACGCCGCGGGCGCCTTCGCGGCGCCGCCGGGCGCGGGGCGGCCCGCGCTGCTCGCCCTCGGGCCGCGCGCCCTCGCGCGCCTGCTCGGCCCGGATCCCGCCGCCGTGGCCCTCGCCCCGGCCGACCTCGCTGGGCTGCCCGCCGGCGCCGCGGGCGCCGCCGTGGGGCTCGTGCGGGCAGAGTTCCGCGAGGCGCTCGCACGCGCGCGGCCAGGCCGACCCCGCGGCGGACGCCTCCCGCGGCGGCCCCCGTCGCCCTCGCCCGTCCTCGCTCCGGGGCGCATGGGCGGGCGGCCGCAGGGGCCCCTCGCGGGGCGATGGGGGCTCGTCGCGGGAGGGGCTCGAGCACGGGAGGGCTCCTCTGGCCAGGCCGCGCCCCCGAGGTGCCCCTGGACCTGCGGCGCCCGCGGGTGCCCTGCTGGCTCCCCTGCGCGGCGCTGGCGAGCGCGGAGTCGCGCGCCGCAGCCTCGCGCGCGGGCGCCTGCCGCCTGCGGGGCACAGTGGTGGGCGCGAAGCGGCCGCGCCTGTCGCCCTCGGAGGGCGCCGCCGGCGGCGGCGGGCCGCCGCCGCCCCTCGTGGGCGAGGCCTCCGCCAAGGATCGGAGCAGGGCCAGTGGAGGCAACGGCAGCTCAAAATCCGCCGTCGCCGTCGTCGTCGTAGGTCGTCGTCGCCGTCGTCGTCGCGGCCGCCGCCGTGGCGACGCGGGAGCCCCCCAGGGTCCGACTGCACCCAGCCGTGGCGACGCGGGTGCCCCAGCCGTGGTGACGCGGCCAGGGGCCCCCCGAAGGACAGCTGCCGCTGTCCCCACTTGCCCAGCCCCTCAAGAGGACCTCGTCGCCGCGCTGGCGGCCCTGGGCCACCGCGACGCGCGCGCGGCGGGCGGCGGGCAGGGCGGCGGTGCCCTGGTAGACGTGCCCTCGCTGGCAGCGCGCGTGGTGCTTGGCGTGCCCGCGGCTCCAGGCGGCGCCGCCTGCCTGGAGACGGTGGTGGAGGCGCCGTCCGCGCGCGCCCGCGCGATCCTGACCGAGGCGCTCGAGGGCTTGCTGGCGGTGCGGTGACAGGTGCACCAGGTTCGGAGGGGGGCGAGCCGAGGCAGCGGCGTGTGGCTGGCATGCGGGAGGTCCCCTCGCCGCCACGGCGGAGCGCAGCTCGGACAGCTGCTCCCAGGGCCGACTTTGCGCTGCCGTCGTCTCGGCTCGCCCTGCTGCACCGGCCTGCGGCGGCAGAAGGGCTCCCGGGCAGCTGCCAGAGGGCTGCCGATGGGGAGAGCGCCGCCTGAGGGCGGCGAAAAGCATTCGGGCGGGCAGCGGAGAGCACAGCGTCGGCGTCGTCGCCGTCGCCGTCGTCGTCGTCGCCGTCGCCGTCGCCGTCGCCGTCGCCGCCATCGTCGTCGTCGTCGTCGTCGTCGTCGTCGTCGTCGTCGTCGTCGTCGTCGTCGTCGTCGTCGTCGTGGCGGAGGTGCCGAGGCTGGCGGGGCGAAGCGGGCCAGCGGGACGAAGCGGGCGGGGCGAAGCAGACGGGCGGGAGGCGAGGAGGGCGTGGAGGAGGGAGGCCCGGGAAGAGAGAGAGAGAGAGAGAGGCGCGCGATGCGGAGGAGGGCATGGGGCCTCATGCCCTTTGTCCCCCCTCCACGCCCATCCCCCCCCCATCCTCCTCCTCTTCCTCCTCCTCTTCCTCCTCCTCCTCCTCCTCCTCGACCTCCTCCTCCTCCTCGACCTCCTCCTCCTCCTCCTCCTCCTCCTCCTCCTCTTCCTCCTCCTCCTTTTCCTTCGCCCCTGGAGAGGTGCCTCGGCGCGTGAGCGCCGCGTCGGGGCCCTGGGGAACTAGTATCCGCTCAAGCCATGGCCCGAGTGGGGGCTGCGCTGCGGCAGGAATGGCTGGGCGCTGTGACGTGGTCGCTGGACTGCGCACCCTGGGTTCGCCCCCGGGGTGGTGCAGCTTGGTCCTCGGTGCCTCGTCCTTCTCTGCCGTACGGTCCCACAGAGGGCGTCCCCCTCCGGAGTGCCCGCGGGAGTTGAAAGGGTGTGGGGCCGGGGTCATCCCGACCATAGGTTGGCGGGGGAGGCTCGAGGGTGCCGGCCACTTGCCTTCGGGCTGGGGGTGGTGCTGGGCCCCGGTAGGTCTCGCACCGCGCTCCCCACGCGGTGGGGGTGCCAGGGTCCTGCGGGGCTTGGGGCGGTACCCAGGGAGCTGTCGCCATCGGAGTGTGAGGCAGCGGCGCAGGGCAAGTGACGCGTGGTTGTGTGCGTGAGTCGGGAGATGTCGCCAGGCCGCAGTGGGCAGGGACCCCCACGGGGAGAGGGCGCGCGCAGTCTCGCGCGGCTGCTGTCTGTCCTCGGCTTCCTCCCCGCGCTTCCGTTCGCGCTTTCATGTATATCTGTGTTTCGGGGGGGGGGCCCGAGATGTTGTGCCTTAGTGCCAGAAACAATTCACGGTGAGGGCCGCCATTGAGATTTTCCCCACGCCGCCTTCAGACCCAGCCCACGAAGGTTCGCGGCATGCGTTTGACACGACATATGGAAACGTGCGACAATGGTGCAGGAAGATGGGGTCTAAGGTTCGCGTCGGCGGATAAGGGGTGCAGCTGCACTACCAAGCAAAATTGATCCAGAAACGTCAGCACGTCAGACGATTTCCGGCTGACTCTAACGGGTCACGAATCTGGGGGATGTTGCCCCCCCCCCCCCCTCCCCGCCCCGCCGACCCGGCAGGAGCCACCTCGCCCTCCCCTCGAGTCACCGTGACGAGCTGCCCTGCCGCCCTCCTCGCCCCCCTCGCCTCCCTCCTCGCCCCCCTTGCCTCCCTCCTCGCTCCCTCCTCGCTCCCCCCCCTCCCTCCTCGCTCCCCCCCCTCCCCGCCCCCCGCCGCTCTCCAGACGGAACCCCCTCCCTCCCCCCCCCAGTGGCCCGGCCGCGCCCCCCCCCCCCCGTCTCCCCCGGCCGCGCACCGCCCATGGCGGACGGCGGCGCCGGCGCAGACGGCGCGGTCCAGGAGGAGCGCGGGGCGGCCACGGGGCGCCCATTGCACGGGGAGGAGACGGGGTGCAGCCGCCCCGGGGCCCAGACCCCCTCGCGCTGTGGAAAACATCACGACGGGAGCTTCCTCGCGGCTCTCGGCCTCCGGGGGTCCCGCACCGGGCCTCGGGGCCGTCAAACAGACACTCCGGCCGAAGAACCGGCCCCGGGGAAAGGGGTCCAGGCTCTTGGGGGTCGACGTTGTGAAAAGATCACGACGTCGGGGGTCTGGGGAGAGGGGGGAGCGAAAGAAGGACGTACACGTACATGAATCCACGCTGGTTTCGAGAGTTCGCATAGCGCAAATGTTCGTATAGCGCGGCCAGTCTCGCGGATCGAGGGGCCGCGTTCATGTACATAGCTGGGCGCGTACGTCCTTTGTGGGCTCCCTGGGGGGGGATCCAGGTTCGAGGTGCAGAGCCTATGGGACATCTGCGTCGATGCCCAGCGGTTTCGCGGCCTCGGGGTGCCATCCAGCGGCTGCGCCTCGCCGAGCTCCTCTTCCTCCTCCTCCTCCTCCTCCTCCTCCTCATCCTCATCCTCAGGGGTGCCTGGGCCGTGCCGAGGTATGATTCGGAATCCAAGCGGATTGAGGTTCGAGCTTCGAGGTTCGCTTCTTGGAATTTTGTTGCTCATCCTGGGGCTGCTTCGTGGTCACGTCTGCATGCGCCTCGGAATTGCAGCCAGAACGCACCCCAGGAGAGGTCCAGGGGTAGATCAGTGACGCCTCTGGAGGTTTCGGACGCTTTCGGATGCTTTCGGGGCCCAGGGTGGTCTCGAACGGCTACCCTCCGTCGAGGGTGTTCTGGGGGGGCCGGAATCGTCCCGAACGGTCGCCGTAGACCTAAGTTCTAGCCCGAAGACCAGACGGCGAGGATGACTGGGGCCACTAGCTGAGGAGGACGAGGAGGAGGAGGAGGAGGAGGAGGAGGAGGAGGAGGAGTGCGTCGACCCCGAGTCGCCAATTCGTGGATCGCGGACAGGGGCCCGACAGCCCACCCCGCCCAGGACCGTGCGGTGCTGTTGTCGAAGGCGTGCTGCCGATCTGTCAGCGAGGTATCGCCGAGTCCAGGCGGATGCTGCCGTCCCTGGGCCGGTGTCTGCTATCGTTCCCTTTCAGGCGGGGCGGTGGGGTCTGGAGCTCTGGGCGGCGAGAAAAGAGGAGGACTAGGGAGGGAGGGAGGGGCAGGGACGAGGATGGAAGAGGGGAAGGAGGGAGGACGGGGCAAGAGGATGAGGGAGGGAGAGAAGGTGAGGGAGAAAGAGGGCGGAGGGGGGGACGGAGGAGGAGGATGACGGAGGGAGGAGTGGTACGGATCGGAGAAATACACACACGCACACGCACACGCACACGCGCACGCGCACGCACGCACGCACGCACACGCACACGCACACGCACACGCACACGCACACGCACACGCACACGCACACGCACACGCACACGCACACGCACACGCACACGCACACGCACACGCACACGCACACACACACACACCACACACCACACACGACACACGACACACGGCACACGACACACGACACACGACACACGACACACGACACACGACACACGACACACGACACACGACACACGACACACGACACACGACACACGACACACGACACGCACACACACACCACACACCCACACACCCACACACCCACACACCCACACACACCACACACCCACACACCACAACCCACACACAACCACACCCACACACCCCCACACCCACACACCCCACACACCCACACACCCACACACCCACACACCCACACACCCACACACCCACACACCCACACACCCACACACCCACACACCCACACACCCACACACCCACACACCCACACACCAACACACCCACACACCCACACACCCACACACCCACACACCCACACACCCACACACCCACACACCCACACACCCACACTCCCACACACCCACACACCCACACACCCACACACCCACACACCCACACACCCACACACCCACACACCCACACACCCACACACCCACACACCCACACAACCACACACCCACACACACACACACCCACACACCCACACACCCACACACCCACACACCCACACACCCACACACCCACACACCCACACGCACACGCACACGCACACGCACACGCACACGCGCACGCGCACGCGCGCGCGCACACGCACACGCACACGCACACGCACACGCACACGCACACGCACACGCACACGCACACGCACACGCACACGCACACGCACACGCCCCTCCCCCCCACCCGCACACACCGACACAGACACAGACACAGACACTGACACAGACAGACACAGACACAAACACAGACAGACACACACACACAAACACGCACGGACACACACACACAGACACACACACACACACACCACAACAACAACAACAACAATTACTAGCACGTGGGGACACTCCGTTCTCACCAGTGCCAGGGTTTTCATACGACGCCCGCCAATACCCCCACTTTGTGGGGGGGCCGGTTCAAGCTCTACCACATTTCCAAACGACTCTTCGCCACCACCCACAACCAGCTTCCCGCCCTATGACGTTCGGACACTTCACTTCGTGGCATGCGGACGACCGTGGCTACTATTCAGGGCCCCGCGGCCGACGACGACGGCGTGCGCGCGCGAAGAAAAAACGAATGTGTCCCGCATGGTATTATTTGACAGGGATGATGGCCTGGCAGGTGCGCAACCGTTGTTGCAGAAGTTCGAAAAAGTTGCTCGCAAAAGCCCGTTTGACAGAAATGTTTAAAAAGTGTTGGGTTTCCTACAAATCTGCAAGAGCGCGCGGGATGAAATTTTGACACTTTTTTTTTTTTTTTTTTTTTTTTTTTTTTTTTTTTTTTTTTTAAATATATATATATATATATATATATATAAAAACCCTTGTTTTTTTGATGTTTTTTTGTTAAAATCGCTACGAACACTAAGGTTTTGGAATGATTTCGTCTTGCGCGCGCGAATGTCCACTTTACCTTTTTTTTTTTTTGCAAGGGATTCTTGAAGTTTGGTTATGCTAGAACAAGAAATGTCAACTGTGCCACAAAACCGCCCGTAACGAAACAACCGGATCCGGACCAACCCGTTTTGCCGGAGACTTCCTCACGAAAATGATGAAAACATGGCTGCGGCCTAGGCGCGGCGAGGGGGCCGTGCACCAGGGGCCCCAACAATAATTATTCTTTAGAAGTAATAATGTTCAACAACAACAACAACAACAACAACAACAACAACAACAATAATCATTTTCAGACTGTTCGCCCTATCTGCTCGAGTG